TTTTTTTTCACAGCACCACTGTTATGCTAACAGTCGAGGATAGCACTTCTCCAGTGTGACAGCCAATTCCTCTGTGATTCGTTTATTTATTTAAATAGTAAATTGGCACTGACGCTTGCCAGGGACTCCTTCCGATTGCTTATATACAGCGCTTTGAAATGAGAGTCACCAACAGCCTCGCCAGGCGAGGGTTTTTTATTGGAACGCACTATTTTTGAATTAATTCCGAGTATCGTTGTCTGGGAGAGAATACGGGGAGAGGGAGGGGGCGAGGGGCGGGGGACTTTGAATTCTGACTTAATAAAGCATGTTTTGTGTTTTTCAGTAACAAAGCCGAGTAAGGAAATTCGCTCAAAGTTAACATGGTGCAAAAATAGTCTACTGCCTGCTGTGATGCGACAGAGTCTTGCGGCAAGCCATTTCACTGTGGTGGCCGAATCGGAATTTTGGATCGGCTACTGGGGACGGCATTTGAAGTCAGCCCAGTACCGAACAGTTAAGCCCTATCAGAAGGTTCTTTTTACTAAATTGCACGAATCTCGTCTTCCATGTTTTTTTTTAACTTGAATGAATATACAGTAAATGTGGAACGTGCCCAGTGAGGTCCAGGTCTTGGCGTGGTCTAGTGGAGCTCACAAGCCGAGGTATTATTGAATTTCTTTATGATACATAACTGGTATTTAATTATAGAACGAGAAGAGGGAAGTGCGGGGCATTATACACGGTCAGCAGTTAGCGAATTAATAAAGAGGAAATGATTTATCTGAGAAATATTGAGTTTGCCGGGGAACCCGTTTTAGTCATTGAGTTGTCCTGAAAGCCCAGAGCCAATACCGTTGAGGGCATGAGAATATAATGTCGAAGAGAACTGCAAGCCAATAGCGAAAAAGATGAACCCGAAGCCGTAGATGAGGTGACGCCGTAGATGAAGAAAAAGATCCCAACTGAGGAAAAGGAGCCCTTATATAGTAGAAACGGGGAGCGCGGTTCAAACTATTGTCCCGCCGAGTGTACCGGCTTACCCAGATGTATTCTCAGACACCGGAAATGTTTGTTCCCCTCGAACAATGGCTTACGGTACGGAAAAGAAAGGGTCAGAACATAATTAATGGAGATCAGAAATGTAAAAGAAAGGATTGGGGAAAAACAAATAAAAGCATTTATCTAATAATACCTTGTTATTGTAAATGCAGCTTTGTCACCAAAACAGCTGCATTTACAATACTTTATACTTTTTGAACGCACAGATGATACATATTGCTGTATTTTTATACTGTTAAACATCAGACTAAATTGATCACACCAGCTTATACTCCTTTTTATTTCGATTGCATTTAATGTCTTTTTTTATTCTTATGTTATTGTAGTTTTAGATTTTAGTGTATTTTTGCATGAATGGGAGTGGGGTGGTTTGTTGTGAGTTCTGCCCGGAGCAAAGGGGGAGGGGGGAAGAGGGTTGTGAGATCGAAGGGGCTGGGGGTTTGGGGCCCTTTGCGTCGGGACCTGGTAGGATATTTTCTAACATATAAGTTTTTGTGTACAGAAAAGAGAAGCGCCCCTGCACCGTACAAGGGGTTGGTTCCACCTAGAGGGATGCAACTCTGAATTGGGGAAAATGCGCTTCGCACCTAAGAATATCCCAGCGAAATCGGTAATTCGGAGTCCCCGCACCAATTATCCGGCCCTTCTCGGTATTCGTCATATATTGAATATTCTTTTGTTATATGCTTTAATGCACATTTATGCCTTTTTTTAATTCTGAGGGGAATAATGCATTCTTTTTCCGGTACATTTTTGTTCATACGAAGCACAAGGATTTCAGGTAAATCATTATCCAGGTGCTTTTCACATGGGCCGAAAAGATCGATTATGGCAGCATATTAATGAAATGGCAGTTTTGTGGGGCGCTGATGCGTATCATCTAATGCCCACAACATACGTGCTGCCACGAGATGTGAAAAAATTGAAGGTTTATTTGAATGGCACACCACCACGTAATGTAATTCTGAAACCGGTTCGTCTTCTCACAGCTTATTTTGATCTATTTTTTTAATATGATTTTATCAAAAAAAAGAAAAAACGAAAAAATTTGATTTTGAATTGGTTTATTGAAGAGCAAGCTGGTAGACGTGGTGGCTAGCACAGCTCTTGTTACCCCAGAGATCGAGGGTTCGATTCCGCCATTGAGGAAGGTATTATTCCTCTACGATCCGTTCATTCGTTTCGATGGTAAATCGGTACTTGCGCCTGCTAGAGGCTAAACCTGCCATCAGCTTGCTTCAAGGCAGTCTGTTAAAGGGGAAATTCATCTGTTGTGGCATATAGTTACTTCTAATTGCCTCTGCCTCTCATAAAGTAGGGATACGCTTGATTTTTGGCCGCTGGAAATCATAGTTTTTAATTTGTAATCGAATTAGAAAAGTATTGGAAAATGTTGCATTGCTGCTAATAGGGTGTAGCGACAAGAGGTAAGAGGAATAGAACAGTCGATTTTGTTTATTTGATATTAGTGAA